ACCCGCGGCGCTTCCAGAGCAGCGCCGCGGGGCTGGCCCGGGTCCTCCGCCGCTTTGCTCCGCATCTCCCTAGTCTGCTGGCTCCCCCAGCAGACCAGGGAGACGGGGAGCAGCTTTTCTCGCCCCGGAGGAGGCGGGCGGTGGGACCAGGCGTCCTGCCACTCCAGTCCTCCGGGGTGAGAAAATCCCTGTTCGTAACTGCGGATCCGACATAAGTCGGATCCGCGTAACTCAGGGACTGCCTGTATACACTTTGTGCTTAAAATTTCCATATACGCACAAGACAGAGTACACCATGTTTGTGAGTAATGCTCTGACTGTATCACACATGTTCAGCGTCCCTAATGGCCTTAAGGATTTAATTTTTCCTTTACTATGTAATTTGAACAGAATGCCTGCTTACCATTGGGAAACTGAGTTTTCGAGCTATTTCTATGAAGTCTTCATTTCTCTCTTTGACTTGCGATTGCCCTGCAGCAAAGTGACTGCAGACAAAGCAAAGACTGGACGTATGAAATAACATTCGAATTGCTACCGCACCTTTATTACCAGTAGCTCCTCCCATACCAGTCTTTACAGTATCAACAGCAACATCCCTAAAAAATAATTTAAATTTTTACTTAAATCAATGACAAAAAATTTAGCAGCCATAAGTGACATTCAAACAGAGCTCTAACAGTCATTGAATGAAACCACAGAAGTACAAAATAATGACAGTGCTGGATGTTTACATTGTTTCATCATCAGTAATGTGAACATCACATTGCAACACACACATCAACTGCTTTTGAGCAGACACGATACAGACATCTGGATGCTTTCCAAGTCTTACAAGCAAAGTACAAGATTTCCAAATCTAAGATTACAGCATTTAAGCAACTAATGTTGAACACAAAATGCAACATCTTTTCTTACATGCTGGTGTCAAGCCACACACACTTTGCACTCCACTTTTTTTTCCAGCATAAAGCAATCTGGCAAGCATACCAGTTTTAGCATAGCTTTCTGTTCACTGACCTGATAAAAGGAGCATGCTGGGGTCTGATGAATACAAAGAGACAGACTCCCACCAACTGCTCGGAAGCTAGCAGCACATATTTGTTATCTCTTGAAATTGTCTTCTGCAGTTCAGCAGCCCACAGCTTCTGATTGGTTGTGCTACCAGTGTGATTAAAAAAAGGCAGTTTAAACAAGAAACCTTAATATCTACAGAGTGTTGCATTTAAATAAGCTTTCATACAATGTTCTTAAGGAAAACCAATAAAGAAGACAGGAGTGAGATATTCAGTGGTCTTGAAGGGCAGACAAGTGGGATCTTTATGTGGGATCTGAGAGGAAAATAATAAATGAATTTGAAGATGGATTAGACGTGGCTAGAGTGGATGACATTTGCAGCTACAAGGGCTTTCATAGTAGTCAGAGTGAAATCAACCGATTTTGCAGAAAGGAAAAAAAAAAAAGCAAGGTTTTGTGCTGGTCTCCACAATGGGAGCCAGACTTATTAATTTGGAGAAGGTATAACAGTAGTCAGCATTACAATATGAAAAGTCAACATTCGCATGTTCACTCAGATTTCTCTAGTCCAAAGTATTAGATTTTTTCCCTTTTCTATAATAAAGAAGTAAAAGAAAATATAAAACCCCTTTCCCCAGGCAATAAATACTCTTATTACTCCAAATGTCATGAGAAGCAACATCATCTTCATTTCTTTGAAAAGATCCCTGGAAAGGATATGGAGAAAGACAGTAGCTTGAGGTAGAACTGAATTGCGTAGTCTCTTCACTGATCTCGAGCAAGAAGAGTCCAAGACATGAAAGTATTTGAAAGGAGCTTTCTAGCTGCCTTTTTAATGGGATGGAAACTGTGTAAGTGGAATCTGGCTTTGGTAGCTAAAGGAAGTTGATTTTCCTCTAAAACAGCCAGGAAAAGCTCAAGGATTGGACAG